ACCGTAGTACTGTAGTACTGTAGTGCTGTAGTGTAGTAGTAGTAGTAGTAGTAGTAGTCGTAGTAGTAGTAGTAGTAGTAGCAGTAGCAGTAGCAGTAGTAGTAGTAGTAGTAGTAGTAGTAGCAGTAGCAAGTAGTAGTAGTAGTAGTAGTAGTAGTAGTAGCAGTAGTAAAGACTGGGCCCACTCGGCGCCCCCACAGATTCATCGATTCTTCTGTTTTACCAGGGCACCTAGAGGGACAGGGCCAAACCACGAAAACCCAGTGCTTCCCCGGCTGCTAGGTAAGCCGCACTCAGTAGCTGTCAAGGTTGTGGTTATTCAGGTTTGGGATGTGTAAGAGTAAGGGCACAACCTGAAGTATGATAAGGCCTGCACGGAATGTGGAATGGCCCAGACACACAGCCGTTCTCCCAAAAGCAGAAGCAACAGCTTCTGCGTAGTCGTCGTCGACACAACCCAAACCCAAGAGGCAAAACTGACCCTCGCGACCCTCAGAAGCAGTCACGTTTTGGCAAACTTGAGCCATGCGAGTTGCAAAAGCTTTCTGGGACATGCCTGAGACAAGCATATGTCTAGTGGCATCCCTGGCTTCTTCAAACATGCAAGCGCAAACAGACATGAGTAAGAGAGAGAGAGAGACGTATGTATGGGTGTGGTTGAGGGTGTGTGTGTGTGTGTATGTGTGTATAAATATATATATATATATATATATATGTGCACGTCGGGTGAAGCTACTTCTTTAAAGGAGTTAAGCCTGCGACTTCTAATTACATCGTGTTCTCAGAACGACATGGATTCCTAGCAACGGCTCCCACAAAAATACCTGCGCCATTTACCCCAAAAAGCGTTCATGACACAAGAGCTTGGAGGCAACAGCTCCTCATGGCTTGCTTAGTCCGAAGGCGAATAACCCTAAACGCCAAACCCTAAACCCTAAACCCTTGAACCCTAAACCCCTAAACCCTAAACCCATAACCCCAAGGCCTCCATGGTAATGGTGTTCAGCCGGTCCGTCGCCACTTGTTCCGTAGCAGCTTCTGTCTCAGGCGGCACAGGGCGGTCAGCGCTCACCTGGTATCGTCTGGCTTGGGAGCTCTGGCAAAAGGGACTTTACGACCATGGGCTGCATGTGGAACCATTGTAGGGTTTAGGGTTTAGGGACCCTAAACCCTAAAGCGTAGGTGCACACTTATCTCAGAACTTCTTATGAAGGCTTCCAGCAGCAGCAGCAGCAGCAGCAGCAGCAGCAGCAGCAGCAGCAGCAGCAGCATCTAGGCAGAAGCACTGATACCCGCCCAATGCTGCGCTTCGTACACAGAATTTCCAGACCCAGGCTGTGATGGGGAATTTATAGCACGCGTCTGACATTGAAAGGCTTCTTCGCCACATATTGAAGACATCGACAACTTGAGAAGCTTACTCACTTGAACTTTGCTTCAGAGTAATCACCACATGTTTTTACATGGCCAAGCTTTGTAAGAGAAGTTAGCATGGCAGATGTGCTAGACACCCTAAACCCTAAACCCTAAACCCTAAACCCTAAACCCAAACACCCCCAAGCCGAACCCACCAAACAAGACTAGACGGTGCCTCGGAGGTCACGCCGCTGCGAGAAGACGGCTCCTTAAAGATATAGACCAGGGTTTAGGGTTTAGGGTTTAGGGTTTTGGGCTTTGGGTTTAGGGTTTAGGGTTTAGGGTTTACCAAGAAAGAGAACGTCTTAGCAGCAGGAATATGGCCCTTCACAGGCTTGATGAAACTCAGCACTCACAGTCGTCTCATTCATAACTGAGAACAATAGCCATAGCCACAGTTGTCATAACAAGAGGTGAAGAATCAATGTTGGTCATAAGCAAGAAGCTGAAATTAATAACCGTGGTCTGCAAGCACTAAGGGCTTGCTTGTGAGACCCTTTCTCTCCGGGGTGCTGCGCGGACCTTGAGCGTTGTACTGTGCATCGGTCTGTCCCGGATGGCATCCCTGAACAAGCCGCGGCCGTCAAGGATTTGCGGTGTAGGGCAGGGCTTAGGGCTAGGGCGGTTCGGCCTCTGTTGCTGAGGCCAAAGAGCACAGGCTGACCAATGCGATATGGGGGGGGTTCCGACAATGGGGCACCCTAATATAGCACCCGGGATAGTAGCATCCTTAGCACGAGGACCCCCAAAGAAGGCACCGCCTAATTTTCGGAAACCCCCCATATCAACATCATGGCACTCTCCAACCAATAAGCTCCCGCAACCCTCAGCACCTGCCTGATTCCGCGGATGATTTGCCAAGCAGGACCTGCAGTGGTGTTTGTCAAGTGCTACCACAGCCCACTCGCAGGTGTTCGAAGATTGAAGTTCCTGCAAAATCTCAGAACCTTGGTTCGCGAACCACTGGCAAGCTCTCCATAAAGCTTTAAACCTCTGCGAGGTGGAGCTCCGAACAGGCTTCCCGTTTCGCATGCAGTCGCATCCTACAACTTGTGTATATCTGCTGGATCTGTTGCAGAAAACGAACCCAAGGCAGATAACACTCTGTCGCTAAAGGCGTGGAAACACTGAATGCTGGTGCCTGAGCTCGCTACAGGCTAGATGCAGATTTCCGGTGACCCAGCCCTAACTGACTGCCACATGCCTTCATCTTCATCAATCGTCTTGAAGCGCTCGCTGTGCGTGTACCTCATCGCGACTTAACATAGCTTCAAGCAGAAGGCGGGCATGTAACGGTTTGGGATAGGGTGGTTTAGGGTTTAGGGTTTAGGGTTTAGGGCTTAGGGTTTAGGGTTTAGGGCTTAGGGTTTAGGGTTTAGGGCTTGGGGCTTAAGGCCTAGCAGCATTCAGTAGCCAAGCTTCCCTTTTGCCTTTCTGGGTTCGACTTTTTCTTGGGTCCTGCACATTTAGGGTTTAGGGTTTAGGGTTTAGATTTTAGGTTTTAGATTTAGCCTTGCATCAGCCGGAAGCTTGGACCTGACTACAAAGCCGTTACAAAGCCCCTGACCCATGCATTGGGAGCTCTTGCTGCTGTAAGCTGCACGTTTTACTCTTCTTGGGAGCCCTAAACCCTAAAAATCCTCAAACCCCAAACTACTCCTAAAGCCCTAACTTTCACTGTGTCGGCAAAAGGTCTCAGGCTTTCACTACACCGCTGCAAGCTGGTGGCGGACCCTTCTGCTCAAGCGTTAAAGACTTACAAGCCTTTGCCATCTCCAAGAAGCGCTGGACCCTCGCAACTGGGACGATTGAATCATTTGCCTTTACAGTCGAGGGAAACGGTAATGTTGAGAAGCAACCGTTTTGCTCAGCATTTTTTCGCTTGCCGGGCTGCATGTGCGAGATGACCCGCAGCAACAATGCATCGGCCTGGCAACATGTTGAGAAGCAGACATAGTTGCATGGCTTCCTTCTTGAGCTCTGGGAAATGCATTCGTTGTGCACTCAGCCCTACCTTGCCGGGGAGCCCCTTTAAGCCCAAACTCCATGTTGGGGGCCACTCATTAAGCTCAAGGCTTGGGCGAGGCAAACTTAATGGGAGGAAGCAGCCGGCCGCGCCAAGTGAGCTTCATGCAGGGTCTGGGCTGCAGAAACCTAAACCCTAAACTCTAAACCCTGAACCCTAAACCTTAAACCCTAAAGAGGTGGATGCAAGCCCCTGAGACCAACAGCGTTGCCTTGCAATCAAGGTACAGGATGACTTCCATAACCCCCGGAGCCCAAGCCTCCCCATGGCTCCCTGCAAGCCTCGAGAACTCTGAACCCTTGGGGATGTTGTGGGCCAATATTCCCTGTCTGGTGCTTAGTAGGGAATGGGGGACTGGATCCCTATGATAGTCCCTTAAGGTCCCTTATAGTAGTCCCTATAACCCATTCCCCCATTCCATACTAAGCACCAGACAGCCTCTATGATTGTGTTCGAATGACTCTACCCCCACAACCCAAATCTGATGATTCAGGTTTCTACATTTCTGCGGGGCGCTGGCCTTTTCAGCCTCCTGCGCTAGTATGAGGTCGATGGCCCTGTGCCACACCTCCTGGACCAGACACGCGTGACTGAGCAGACGTGTGCATCCTAAATGTGAAAGCACCACCTGTATCCCCAAACCCTACAAAATAGTAGGTTATGATCCCTTAATTTGCGGGTCTCGCCCTGAAAACGGTAGGTTTTTGGATCCCCAGGCAAAGCTCCCCCTCTGCTCAGGACGCTTCACCGCAGGCTTAGAGGGTCCGCAGTTCGAAAACAGCGCGCTCCTGTCGGAGCAGGCCCCAAAAAGGGGGTTCCTTCAGGGTTGGGTTTCCTGTCTTGGCGTGCCCTTTACCGTGTATACTTGGTTCGTCACTAAACCCTAAACCCTAAACCCTAAACCCTAAAGCCTAAACCCTAAACCCTGGCCCTGAACCTAAACCCAAACCCTCAACCCTAAACCCTGGACCCGAAACCCTAAACCCTCAACCCTAGACCCTGAACCCTAAACCCTAAAGCCTAAACCCGGGCCAGGTCTCGGGCTCCTGTAGAGTTTTAGGGTTTAGGGTTTTAGGGGGTTTAGGTTTTAGGGTTTAGGATTTAGGGTTTAGGGTTTAGGGCTTCAGGGTTTTAGGGTTTAGGGTTTAGGGTTCTGGGGCTCATACAGAAGTCCTTTGCAAGAGGTGACCCTCAGGTTCGCAGGGGAAGAGAGAGAGAGAGAGAGCAACCCTAAACCCTAAACCCTAAACCCTAAACCCTAAACCCAGTGAAAGAAAGAGAGAGCGAGCGACCGAGCAACTCAGTGAGCAAAGACTCTGACGAGCTTCTGGCGGGCATGGCGCTGTGCCCGTGGATGCGCTCCCCTCAGGGCCGGGCGCCCAGCAGCAGGAGAGGCTGCGTTTCTGACATGCTGGGCCAGAGTCTACATGGGGGTTTCCCAAAATAGGGGACCCTAATAAAGTACCCTAAATAGTAGGATCCCTATTATAAGGACCCCAAAATAAGGTACCCCTAATTTTCGGAAAGTCTCACATGAGAAATGTCAGCTAGAACAACAGCGCTGCTGCGAGTACTGAACTGCTGCCATGCCTTCTGCTCTCGGGCTCCTCTGGGTTCCAACCTTTCTACAACAGGCTCACGCACAGCATCGGCCACACAAGATCAACCCAGAAGCGCCTAAGACCAAACCCTAAACTCTACTCTCGCAAGCTCTAAACCCAAAGCCGCTGCAAGTTTCTGGTACCTTTGTCGAGCCCTTTAGAACCCTTGTGGTATCTTTGAAGCCCTTCTGGACCTTCTCGAACCCCTCTAGCACTCTTCCCTGCACCCTCTTCCGAGCAGCAGTGCCCCTAATCGAACCCGAAACCCTAAACCATGGAACCCAAACGCCAAGACACTTCAACCTCTAAACCGCTAAACAATGACAGCTCTAAACCCCGACAGCCCTAAACCCCAAAACCCCTAGAGCCCTAAATCCCTAAATCCCTAAACCCTAAATCCCAAACCCCTAAACCCCTAAACCCCTGCAGCCCTAAACCCCAAGAGCCCTAAATCCCTAAACCCCAAAACCCCTAAATCCGTAAATCAAGGTTGCCGGCTTTCCCCGGCCATGCGGCCGGCCGCCCGACCGGCCCGGAGCTTGCAACGGCGGGCAGGCGGCCTTGGGTAATCAAGTTTGGGTCCGTGGGAGTACAGACGTATATCTGTATGTGTGGATGTATGTATGTATGTATGTATGTATGTATGTATGTATGTATGTATGTACGTATGTATGTATGTATGTATGTACGTACATGCATGGACATGTATTTTCATATAAAAATATTATAATATTGATATGGATGCGGGTATGTGGAGAGAGAGGGAGAGGGAGAGGGACAGGGAGCGGGAGAGGGGGAGGGAGAGGGAGAGAGAGAGGGAGAGGGTGTGCGAGTGAGTGAGTGAGCAAGCGAATGAGCGAGTGAGTGTTTGAGTGAGTGTTTGAGTGAGCGTTTCAGTGTTTGAGTGAGTGAGTGAGAGTCACAGTAAGTGAATCTGAGTGAGTGAGTGAGTGAGTGAGTGAGTGCCTGAGTGCGTGCGTGCGTGCGTGCCTGAGCGAGTGAGTGAGCGAGCGCGAGAGAAAGAGAGAGAAACAAAAGAGGGAGAGAGAGACAGAGAGAGATAGACAGAGAGAGAGAGAGAGAGATCGACAAGAGCGAGAGAGAAAGAGAGAGAGAGAGAGAGAGAGAGGGAGGAGAGACAGACAGAGGGAGACAGAGAGAGGGAGGGAGACAGAGAGAGACAGAGAGAGAGAGAGAGAGAGAGCACATTGCCACCCGCAACCGTCGGGGGCGCACTTGCGCGCGATGTAGGGGGTTTCCCCCTGCATCATAGCCCTGCCAAAGAAAGAGAGAGAGAGAGAGAGAGAACGAGGAAGGGAGGGAGGGAGGAAGGGAGGGAGGGAGGGAGGTGTACTTGGACACTGTCAGGGGCATTCGGGCACTAATTCCGGCATGATTTCGGGCACTATTTGGGCCCATTTGGGCTCTATGACTTTAGCAAATTGCAGCTGGAAACCCTCCCACAAGCCTCACAGTCAACTCTTCCACGCGAAACCGCAGACCTCAGACCCAAATCCAGACAAGCCGAGCACCTTAAAACCCTAAACTTCAAACCCTACAGCCATAACCCAAGCGCTAAAATCCAGGCGGCGAGGCGGACATAGCTCTGCCGCTGGCTGCGGCCGTGGCCGCGGCTGCCACCGCTGCCTGGATGCAGCGTGCAGGACCCGTGTCGTCAGGAGTTTCAAGACTAAGGCGGAAGGCTTGGGCCGCTACAGTACCCCACCTTACTTGGATCCTCATACTTATGTGCTGTTGCAGGCCCCACAGAGTCAAGTCATGCGATGCTGGGAGTTTGCGCATCGGTGCTGTCGGTGCTTCCAGCGCCAGAGGATGGGTTAGAGGTTTCGGATGTGACAGTGGGCTCGGAAACTTGCTGTGCATCTTTGCCTCTCCCTGATAGCTCTCTTGAGCCAATAACATAATACATATACGTCAAAGCCAAAACTGTTGGTTTTTACGAGTATGAAACGAAGATGGTGGTCGTCTCAAGCATGATGGCGCAGTAGGATCAGTAGTAAGGCTTTCAGATTCGCAGGCCGGGTATCATGATTTCTCAATCTGCCGCTTACGGATCGCCAGGGCAACAAGGAGCCGCAGCAGTGGTGCACCACATCAGCACTACAGCCTACCTTAAGAACCCAAAACCCACTTTTTTGTAGGTTCTTATTATAAACCCTAATATGGGATTTATAGGGACCCTACAAAAAAGTAGGGTTTGGGTTCTTAAGGTACGGCCCAAAACCCAAAGCCCAGACCCCAAGCCCCAGATTCCAGAACCCGCAAATCTAAATCCTAAACCCACAACCCCCCATACTCCAGAATCTTCAACCCTAAAAGCCCTCAAGCCGAAGCCTGCAACCCAACATCCCCTAAAACGCCCAAAATCCTAAACCCCTAAGCCCTAAACCCTGAACCCTAAACCCGAAACCCTAAACCCTAAACCCTAACCCAAAGCCCTCGAAACCCGAGTAGTCCTCCCCCTCCAGGGCCCGGCAGCCAAGAGCCGGCAAGCGCCGCGAGTGCCCTGGATGCCGTCGAGGCAAGAGACTGGTTGGAAGAAGCTGGGCTCTTGTTCAGGAAGTTTGAGAACCCAATACCGATTAATTAAGGAATACCCATAGGCCCCATAGTAGTTCCTTTTTGGGGTTCATATTTAGAATCCTATAAGGAAATCTATTAAGTTACCATATTAAGGATCTATAGTGAATTATTATAAGCGCTTAAGTTAAACCCTTACCAAGAGCCCAGGAAGAGCTTCGGGACTTCGATGGAGCCTCGGAGAGCAATGGGGGCTTCAGCCCTAAACCCAAAACCCTACATCCGTAATGTTTTGGGGGGTTCCTTATTTTTAATTATCGTGTCATGGGGCCCAAAACCCTATTCTAATTGTTAAGGCCCCTATGGTAAATGTGGAGATCCAACTCTTTGGATAACGCTTTAGATTGCGGTGTGTGAAGTTCACTTTGTCACAGTCTTGATATCTTTAGGGGTTTAGGGGTTTAGGGTTTAGGGTTTAGGGTTGGTGTAAGGCTTAGGGCTTCGGGCTTGAGGTTACAGGTCCAGGCTCGGACTTTTGGGAGTATGACCTCGGATTTCGGATGGGTTCGTGCGAGCATGCGAGCCAGCTTGGAGGATGGAGGGGGGACAGCTGGATTGCAAACAAGTCTTCACCAGGCAATCCTAACTCTCAATCCTTGTTCGCCTCCGATTCTCAGGAGCGTGATTATCGTTATTGCCATCATCCTCCTTGTAAAGTTAGCTATTCTTCCTGTTCTTACATCTAGGATTCCTGAAGCCCTGGATCCCCTAAACCCTAAACCCTAAACCCTAAACCCTAAACCGCTGTTCCCGAGGTGCTTCCGGTTCCGGGCCCATCTTGCTAGCTGCGGATGGCCTCGTCTTCAACGTGGCCTCTGCCAGGCCACGAAGCCGTGAGCCTTTAAGGGTTTAGGGTTCAGGGTTTAGGGTTCAGGGTTTAGGGTTTAGGGTTTAGGGTTTAGCGTTTGGGTCTCCATGCCGAAAAGCTAGGCAAAGTACCGACGCTTTCACATGTCGGCCGGGGTCTGGGGGTGTTCAACTACAAGGCCAAGCAAGGAATCAGTGTATTTGTGCTCGTTTCAGACCCACACCGGAACCAGATTCGGAAATCTTCAGGCACGTACATCCCACTTCGAGGTCCGAGCTCTACAGCACCTTCACTCCAACTTTCCTAGCTTCCCTGAACCCTGAAGCCCCAAACCTGAAAGCCCTGGTCGCTCCAGGAAGCCTACTAGAAGGGCTTACAATAGTTACCTATACTAATTTTGGGGGTTCCTTATTATGACTATAGTATAAAAGGGCCCCAAAAACCCTATTCTAACTATGAAGGCCCCTACGTTGCGCCGAAAACCTCAGACTCGGAGCTTTAAGCCCCTCCCCTTAGGGTCCCTTTGCCCAAACAGTGTATACTGTGGGCCCCAAAGTACCCTCTAGAGCGACTACATGGAGGCCAAAGGATATACTATTTGGGTACCTGGACCCTTAGGGTTCAAACCCAAAACCCCAAAGCCCTTGGTTTACAAATCCTCTCGGAAGGATCAGGGGACTTAGTAAGTCGGGCTGTGGGTAGGTCATGACCCTTTCATGGTATTTACACTTCTCCCGAAGCCCCAAATTCCCTAAACCCGAAACCCAAATTCCGGCTGTTTCCAGGAACCTCTACGGCCCCGGCGGGAAGTACGCGGCACTTGCCGGGCGGGATGCCTCCAGGCTGCTGGGGAAGAACTCCCTGGAGGAGGAGCTTTGGGGAGCCTGGGTAAGTTTGGTCTGATCGTGTCTAAAGCAATGAGCGTCCTAATCAAGCGTTTTTTTTAAAGGGGGGGGGTTGCGGTTTTGAGGTTTTGGGTTGTGGGATTTGGGTTTTGGGGGTGCTACGATCTGGAAGTGCAGGAAGCAGTTTGGCTTTCGGGTTCGGGGTTGGGCGTTGGGAGGGTTGGGTTGGGTTCAGAGTGCTTGGGTCCCTAAACCCTAAACCCGAACCCCTGAACCCTAGACCC